CTGGCTGAGCGAGGCACGGGAGCAACACCAAGGGTTGCGATCCCGTTGCCGGTCCCCAGTCTGGTGTGGGGGCAACACTGAGGGTTGCAATCCATTGCCAGACACGGAAAAAGACAAAAAAAAAAAAANATTATGATAGCTATGTAAAAAATTCTTTATCAGTTGGAGATTCATACTAATGTGTTTACTGGTAAAGTAACATGATAGACATTAAAATACTCCAGGAAAAAAGTGGAGATGGGGAGGTGGTAGATGAAACAAGTTTGGGAAAATATTGATAATTATTGATACCGGGTGTTGGGTACGTGAGTGATCATTGTACTGTTCTCTCTACTTTTGTACATTTTTAAAATTTACGTGATGGAATGCTTTTAAAAATTCACCTGTAAAATACAGTACCCAAAACAAGAAAGACATCATAAATATATTTGAAAATCTGGATGAAGTGATCAATTTTATAAAAAATATAAAGGACCAAAATTGATTCTAGAGGAAAATGAAAATCTAAACAGGGGAATTTACCAAACTTTATGTGTGAATAATTTCAACACTGTTTAAATTGTCCCAAAGCATAGAAAAAGAAGGAAATTTTCCAAAGTCTGTTTTTTTCTTTTAATTTTTATTTTGGAAAATTTCAAGATTTCAGTATTATATTGAGGCCCAGTGTACCCATCATCCAGATCCACAGTCCTCAACATGTGGACAGTTTTGCTTTATTCTCTCATCCTGGCACTGCTCCCTGACATTGGTTTATTTTGAAGCAATCATCAATCATTATATCACCATATTCTCTTTGTAAAATGAGTATTACTTTGATTCCAACACCTAAAGATTGTACAAAACAGAGAGTTTTTCATGCAAAAACAATAAAATATTAGCAATCAGAATCCAACATCATATTAAAAGGATATTAAATCATGACTGAGAGAGATTTATTCCAGGAAATCAAGGATGGCTAAATATTAGTATATTTATTAATATTATTTATTATTAGGTAGATAAGCATCTCCATAGTTGCTAAAAAGGCATTTGACAAATTCAACATTCATAAAATAGCAATAGATAGATACTTCCTTAATATGATAAAATATTTGTCTTAGCCAAAAGCAAGTATCATGCTTTATGGAAAAAATGTTAAAAATACTTCCACTAAAGTGAGGAACAAGACAAGAATATTCCCCATTATTATTTTTTAAACTTTTTAATTAAAGTATAAATTATATAAAATTTTTCATTGTTATTATTTAACATTCTATTAGGGGACTAACCTATGCAATTAGGCAATAATAAGAAATTAGAGGCATATAAATTGGAAATGAAAATATTTACAGATGGTATAACTGTATACCCAAAAAACCCAGAAAAACAAACTAAAAAAACTACTACAAACAAAAAAGAATTCAATAAGATATTTCAGTACAATGTGAATAAGCAGAAATCAAAACCTTTTATATGTATACTCAACAACCAGTTTAAAGACAAAAGGAAGAACTGCTACTTTTGGCCCTGATGGAACAACAAGGACTAGATTTACCCAATGGTTTTTAGACATTGAACAACAAAAGACAAAAGGAAGAACTGCTACTTTTGGCCCTGATGGAACAACAAGGACTAGATTTACCCTAGCAATGGTTTTTAGACATTGAACAACAGGCAGTGCGGGACACTGATTTTCAGAAAAACAAATTAAGGAAGCCCTGTGATTGCAGCAGCTTACTGTCTGGAGAGAGTTTCAAGACTTTAGTGCAGGAAAGGAGCACTCAGATAGAACCCATCAGTCTTTCTGAGTTGCGGAGACAGAGTTCAGAATTTGAAAAGGCCAAGGTGGTTAGAATGCATAGAGTTGAGAAGGGAGAGCTAAAGAAAGAGAGAGAGTTCCAGAAGTCTGCAAGATGTTCCCCTTAAATTTTAATCTGAGAATTGATAAGTATATGTGGGTGAGGAAACTACTGGAGGCTGGGGAAAGAACTACCAGAAAGGAATAGGCAAAAACATTTCTGGAGCTCACATAGCACTGGAAATAGTTCATCTTCTCACCATCTAGAATGGAAAGATCTCCTAACACATTGGACATCTGAGTAGTAGAGTACTCAGAAGGTTATTACCTCAGTAATGGGCCCAAATAGTCCTAGACTAAAGGCTGCTCTGGTCTACCCTAAGAAAACTTAAAAGAAGCTTGAAAGAATCAAACTGTTTTGAAGTAGTTTAATTGAATCTCAGAACAAAGTCCAAAAATATTTAAAGAATCCAAAAAGATCCAGTGCCCAACAATATAAAATTCACAATGTCTGCATCCAGTCAAAAATCACCAGGCATACAGAGAATCGGGTTAAATATGACATATAATGATGAAAAAAAAAGCAGTCATAGAAACAAATCTAGAAATATATAGATGATGGTAGACAAGGATGTTTCTGTGTATTAGTTATTTATTACTACATGAAAATTTTCCCTAACTCTTAGTGGCTTAAAGCAACAAACATTTAGTATTTCACAGAGTCAGGAATCTGGAAGTAGTTTAGCTGGGTGATTCTAACTCAAAGTCTCATGAAGTTACTGTCAAGCTGTCAACTGGAGCAGCAGTCATGTGAGGACCTGACTGAGGCTGGAGGATTCCAAACTCTCTCTCACTTGGCTGTGTGAAAGAAACCTCAGTTCCTCACTGCATGGGCCTCTCCATATGACTGCTTAAGACAAAGCAGCTGCCTTCGTCCAGAGCAAATGGTCTGAAAGGGAAAGAGAGAGTGACCAAGATGGAAGTCACATTGTTTTCTATAAACATATCTCAGCAATGGCATGCCACATTCAGGTGGTCACACAGACCAACCCTGGTACAGTATGGGAGGGGATTGCCTACAGCTCTGAATATCAGGAGGTGGAGATCATTGGGGGCCACTTTGGAGATGGCTGCCACACTTCATAAGTTCAAGAAGGCAGAAGAAAACATGAGCATTTTAGGGAGAGTAATGGAAGATCTTAAAAAGACCCAAATTGAACTTTTAGAGATAAAAAATGCAATGGATAAAATGAAAAATATACTGGATGGGATTAACATGTATTTTGAAGCTCTGTTATTAAGTACATAAATGTTTATGATTGTTATATCCTCTAGATGAACTGACAACGTTATTGTTATGAAATGATCCTCTATCTCTTGCAGAATTCCTTGGTCTGAAATCTACTTTGTCTGCTATTATTGTAACCACTCTGGATTTCTTTTGATAAGTCTTATCATAATATATCTTTTTCCATCATTTTAAACAAAAATTACTACTAAAAAGAGAATCAATATAATTGATGCAGATTAAATCTAGTCATTTCTCACCTCGAGGATATAATTTTTTTTCTGTTTGATTCAGACCTGCCAGCTTTTTATAAATGCAGCAGTTGACTCCCCTGCAATTGATTACCACATATCTCTAGCACAGAGTGCTTTGCAAATCTGTCTCACACATCCTGAGCTACAGAATGAAATTTGCTGTCAGCTTATTAAACAGACAAGACGAAGACAGCCACAGAATCAACCAGGACCATTGCAGGTATATATTGATGCATATACATGTGATTTAAAATGATGTTGTTTTCCTGATTGTAAGAATGCTACACATTCAGCATAGACAGTTGGAAAATATTAAAAGTTTGAAAGGAAAAATAGCTATTAATATTTTGATTTATATCCTTTGGTTTATACGTTTATATATAAATGTATATATGTGTGTAGATATATGCACACTCAGTTTTTCATATTGCTAGAGTTACAGTGTGTATGCTACTTTTTTAAACAATAGGACAGAATCATTTCCCCTATATTCTTAAACATTCTTCAAAACATTAATGGTTGTATTAATATCAATTACTATACATTTAGATTTTTCCAGTTATTGCTTCTATAATAAATACCACTACAGTACAGTCTTTGAACATAAATTCTGTGTATAGGTCCAATGAATTCTTTTGACTCCATTTCTAGAATTTTCCTATATCTTCAACAATATTCAGTACAATTACATTTTTTTCCAGGTAAAAAGTGGTATTTCACTATTGATTTAGGAAGCATTTCCTTAATTATTAATGCAAGTGAACATATTTTTCAGGTGTTTTTTAGTCATTTGTATTTACTCTTTAATGAATGCCTATTTTTATCTTTGTGTATTAACTCCCTGTTAACCACAGGATAAAACAGAAATTTCTTACTCTCGCATGTGGGACTCTCAGGGTTGGGTCCAGGTTTTGTGGAACTTGAAGTTTACACAATTAGGGGAATGCTCTTTAAGAAAAAAAGTACAAAATATATTACTTTTGCACATTTTAAAAAACGTGGCCATGTAAACACAGTTGCTAGAGCTCATTCCAGGGCCTTGGAAGGGACCTGTGCACAAGAGGGGTTACGAAGCCTAAGCTTAATTTGCATCAAGAGCCTTTGTACTCTGGCTCCACTGGCCTCCTCTTCCACCACTTCCTGCCTCCAGCACACTGTGAATGAATAAACTCTCCCTATTCTTCAAACATGTCCTGCCTTTGCAATATTTTCCACCTTGCACCTGTTGCCTGGATATCCCTTCTTCCTTCCCACCTGTAGACTTTACAGTCCAGCCCAAGCAACATTTTCCCTGTGAATCCTTCCCTGACTCCCATAGTAGTTAGTCATTCTCTCCATTGGTTATACCTTAAAAAAAAATGAATACACAGTATTCCCATGTTGTATTACAAGTTACTGTTTAAATATATAACTGTCTCCTACTAGATGTAGGCTCCACAAGGGCAGGGACAGTGACCTATTCTCCCTTTCTTTTAAAACATTTTAAAAATTACTGAAGTTATACATAGTTAATGAAAAAAAAATTTTTTTTTTGAGACCGGCCGCACCGCGCTCAGCCAGTGAGCGCTGTGAGCGCACTGGTCATCCCTATATAGGATCCAAACCCGCGGTGGGAGCGCTGCTGCGCTCCCAGCACCGCACTCTCCCAAGTGCACCACGGGCTCGGCCCGAAAAAAATTTTTGAAAGAATACGTAACAAAGGAAAAATAAAAATCTCATATAATCCAGTTACCTAAAGATAATCTCTGTTAATATTTTTATACTTGTCCCTTATTTGTGTGCATGTGTATATATGTATGTGTGAGTAAATGGGTTTTGGTTGGGGGCATATGATTTTTTACTACTTTGCAATCTGCCTTTTTATTGGTGGCTGGCTGGTACCAGGCAGCTGAATCCTTGACCTTGGTGATATTACACTGCACTCTAACCAACTGAACTAACTGGTCAGCCCTCAATGTAAAGTTTTTGTTTTTAATGTGTTACAAATGCTCTAAACAGATCATGTATATGTGGAGGAAGTAAAACATCTTGGGGTTAAGAGAGACTTTCAACAGCCCATTGCTCTCCCCACCTCTGTCAGTCACACTCATTCTGACATGGATCTCTGACCGGCATGTAGTATCTAACCTACGGTGCTTCTCTTTGCCCAGGGCTGGCAGCTCTTGGCACTTTGTGTTGGGCTCTTCCTTCCCCATCATCCTTTCCTGTGGCTTCTCAAGCTCCACCTAAAGAGGAATGCAGATTCCAGGTGTGCAGAAAACTAACCAGCTGAACTGTTTATGGTGCTTCTGAAAGTCTACAATAAATCTTAAGTATTTAATAACCTGCCAGGTACATTTTCAGAAGAATGTGTAAAACAGGTATTAGTACTGGAAGGCTTTGCTTCTCATTTATGTGGAATTTGGAAAATATCTCTTTTGTTATATTAAAGCTCTTGTGGAAGATTGCAGTAAAAGCTTGAAAAATTGACAGAGTATTTCTAAGTGAAAAATCTACCTGCATTTCAAGTATTGTTAGTGGGTGTTCATTCAATAAAAGAAACTATTTTGTTTTCTTAGTTTTCCTTTTTACTGTTTTTCTCCACATTGAATTCTTTTATGTGGAAATCTTCCTGAGTGGTTTTTCCCCCTTTTATAATTGTATGTATTTGAATTACTTTGGAATTTTTACTCCCTTGAAGAAAACTTTACTCCCTTGAAAATCTAACTTCCAGAATGGCTTTCTTACAAGGAGACCCATGGCACTTAGCCAAGGCTCATCCAGGATCATTTTGTCCACTAAGAGTTTCATGTTAGGTTGCTTAAATAGATTCTGGGACTAAAACAAACAAACAAACACAATAAAACAAAAAAACTACTTGGAAGCAATAGGAAAATATCCTGCAGGTCATAATAGGAAAATATCCTGCAGGTCATAATCCTCTGTGATCAAGGTCATATGATTTCATATGCAGTCACTGAGGAGCCCCTAGACAAAGGGTGACATTTTAGGGTCTGCCTAGAAGGCACTGGAATACAAACATACTTAGAGGTGTTATCAATCTGCTTTTATAAACATTATAAAAATTATATATAAAAAGTGAGGGCAAATAAGACCTCTATCTAACTTTTACATTTATTTACTCCAGCGATTTTGTTTAATGCGTAACATTTTTTAACAAGTGCATGTTTTATAAGAAGGAAAATATATTTTTATTTTTGTTTGAAGACATTTTCTTGACATGTTCAGCAGTGAAGCATTAGCTTTAGAAGACAACACTGCCACATCATGTTTTTTTTAAAGTTGTCCTATACTATTCTTTATACAATTATTTTCTTTTTTCTTTTTTTTTTTTTTTGTCTTTTTCCGTGTCCGGCAACGGATCGCAACCCTCAGTGTCGCCCCCGTGCCGGACCGGGACCGGCAACGGGATTGCAACCCTCGGTGCTGCTCCCGCGCCTCGCTCAGCCAGTGAGCGGGAACCGGGCTGTATGTGGGATCCGACCCCTCGGGAGCACCGCCGCGCTTCCCAAGCGGCGCACTATAGCAGTGCGCCACCGGGCCAGCCCAATATACAATTATTTTCTTTTTTCTTTTTTTTTTTTTTTGTCTTTTTCCGTGTCCGGCAACGGATCGCAACCCTCAGTGTCGCCCCCGTGCCGGACCGGGACCGGCAACGGGATTGCAACCCTCGGTGCTGCTCCCGCGCCTCGCTCAGCCAGTGAGCGGGAACCGGGCTGTATGTGGGATCCGACCCCTCGGGAGCACCGCCGCGCTTCCCAAGCGGCGCACTATAGCAGTGCGCCACCGGGCCAGCCCAATATACAATTATTTTCTTTAAATTCATTAATATAATCACTATGTATTAACTATATAGTGACTGGTAATTTTAAATTCAGTTTGTGACTATAATAATACAATAAAAATGAAGAGTGCTTTGTGGGGACATTTGAGTGACTCAGTTACAAAAGTAAAGATGGAATTTGAGGAAGTTACAGCAGTGTAATATTATCTTTTTAATATTAAAAAAATTACTGTCAAAATTAGCACAGTACTTTGTAATAATATACAAGGGAAGCCTTCTTAATGGTTGCATTTATTGGGTTGTCTTAATTAAATTTACTCTTAGATTTTATCTTAAGTTTTGTATTATAGGACAGAATTTGGAAAATATGCCATTTACTGCCAGCGATGTGTAGAAAGAACGCAACAAAATGGAGATCGAGAAGCAAGACCCTCAAGAATGGAAATTCTTTCAACCCTTCTTCGAAACCCTTACCATCATTCTTTGCCCTTCAGTATACCAGTGCACTTCATGAATGGGATATATCAGGTAGGTTAGCCTTTTTACCCTAATGAAAACATGCTTAGTCAAGAATCCCATGTATAACCTCTGTGGAACAGGGAAGGGAGACTATCTACCTATCTTTGTCGGCAATTGGCAGTGATAAACATGCAGATATGTTAGATAGTCAATCAAAACAACTGAGTTTTGGAACAGTTTTGCTGAGGAGGATTCACACTAAAAACAGATTCATGCTGATATAAATAAGGGATGGATTTCTCTGCCATTATAGTTCTGATGGAGAAAAGCAAAAACATTTTGGTTGAGGTTTTTCCCCATCAGTGCACCTGCTAGGTGAGGAAATAATTATTAACATGGGGTGTGTACAATTTTAGTCTCTTTGAAAATCTCCAAATCTCAGGAATTATCTGGGAAAACTTCCCTGGGCCCTCCCAATTCTCAGATCTAGAGGCTTGCTTATTAACTGAAGCAAACATGTTCTAAAGCTAGCAATTAGTCTTTGTGGCCATAAGCCTTTTATCGCAGAATTCAGATACTTAACTGCCTATTAAAGAAACAAACATTAAATACATAAAAGTGTTCATTTATTTAAATGAATTTCTTGTTTATTTTCTTTAATTTGCTTAAAGATTGCATATTGTACTGTAGTTTTTGGTTTGCTTCTAATGGGTAAGCGTATTATCTCTGCAAGATGTTTATAGCTGTCAAATGATCTTTCCATTTTGAATTCACGTCTGTTGGCTGAAGCTGAGATTTCTGAACTCCTACAGCAAATTGAATACTGAGGCAGCCTTGTTAATTTTCTCCAGTGGAGCTTTGGGGAAAAAGTTAGAACACCTAGAGAAATATATGTTATCATTAATTATGCATCAAGTGTGCCATTTCCCCCCTGAAATCTCAGTTTGAAATGTATATACTTTTTATTAAGATAACTACTTTGTTATTTCTGTCTAGGTAGTTGGGTTTGATGCATCCACCACAGTGGAAGAATTTTTGAATACTTTGAACCAGGACACAGGAATGAGGAAACCAGCACAGTCTGGATTTGCATTGTTCACAGACGATCCTTCTGGCAGAGATTTAGAGCACTGTCTTCAAGGAAACATCAAGGTGAAACCCAGTCCTTTTAAGGAGCCAAACCCAACAAACAGCAAAGAAGCTACTCTTTATTATTTGCAAGAAGTTTAGGAGTTTTCCAAAAATTTAAGCAATCTGATCTTAACAATAAAAAAAAAAATAGGACTATGTTTCGAAGCCATGGAATTTTTAATACACAATGTACACACACATATACTCCATGTTAAAGAGAAGAAAAGGATTAATGATAATAATACTCTAAATATTAGGGTAATAAGGGTAGAGCTGTGGAAGAGCTAATAAAATGGCTTTCCACATTTTTTTTTATTCATTCAGAAATATTTATTGAACTATTTACTGTGTCCCAGGCGTTAGGCTGGAAACTGTCAGGAATACAAAAAGGACCAGAAATAGTTCCCACCCACATGAACTTATAATTTGCTTAGGAAACAGCAGCCTTATACACTGATAGCCTTAAACTAGGGATGAAAGTGATCAATGTTTTAAAAGTGCTGTGAACTTGCACAGAGGGAGAAATAAAGTTCAGCATTGGGAATTAGGGGATACTTGAAATGGACTTTGAAGGATGAATAGAAAATGGACCTGTGGAAATAAAGAAGGGATACACTGATAGCCTTAAACTAGGGATGAAAGTGATCAATGTTTTAAAAGTGCTGTGAACTTGCGCAGAGGGAGAAATAAAGTTCAGCATTGGGAATTAGGGGATACTTGAAATGGACTTTGAAGGATGAATAGAAAATGGACCTGTGGAAAATAAAGAAGGGATTTTTTTTTATAGTGAAATATAGATGTTTCCATCTAGGGATGGCAACAATTAGAAATATAGAATTACAGTACCACAGAGGACCTTAGAAAAACGGTCTACTTATTTTGCAAATGAGAAAACTGAGGCCTACAGAGGGAAATGATTTGCTAGAAATCAAATAGCTAGAATTGGTCTATAGACCTTTCCTTATATTATATTTCAGATTTATTTGGTATAACTTCAGTTATTCCAATCTTCATAAACTCAGAAGGTGGAAAAGTTGCTACTTCGGTGACCAAATTATGAAAAAATCCTTGGAATCTCCTTGTTTCCAGTCTCATGCATTAATATTCCTTTTTGAGTAATGCATGGCCACAGTCCAAAGTTAGTGTGTCCAAGAATGGACCAAAGAGTAATTTATAATTAAATCCTAAAGTCACGAAGATGCATAAAAACTGGAAACAAAAAGCATGTGTACATTTGGTGTGCTCATATTAATTGAAAATTTTCAGTCTACAAACACATTTGTCTTCAAAAAGATTTAAAAAGTACCATAAATCTCAGCTTTCTACTTCCCTTTTAGATTTGTGACATAATTTCTAAATGGGAACAGGCTTCCAAAGAACAGCAGCCTGGAAAATGTGAAGGAACAAGAACTGTTCGTCTCACTTACAAAAACAGGTGTGTAATACTGTATCCAAATGCCAGAGTATGAGTATACGGTATATTCAAATCATATACCTGTAATTTATCTTCCTGTTGAACAGCCTTGAAAGTTATAATGTTTATTTGTACGTTTGCTTTTCTGTAAATGATAACTCTGTTTCTATAGGAAAAAAAACTGTCACATAAAATATTGTTTCTAATTCTAGTCTCTTAGGGTCACGAATAAAATAAAAATATAAACTTAGACAAAGCTTATTTTAAAAACTATAAAAAACATGGTAGTTGATACAAGGATGGATTTTTCACTTTCAAATTTTCATTTAACACTACTACTACATTTTTTGATAAACACTGGATTTTCCAATACCCTACTGCAGATCTGTAGTAAGAAGAAATATTTATGTTTGCCCAAGTCTTTTAGAAATGATATATGTATATTCATTCTTTCTCATTCTTTCATATTCTTTCTCTTTCTCTTAGAGTTTATTGAGCTTCAACTATAAGGCAGTCAATTAGCTAGACACTCTGGGGAAAATGATAATAAAAGCAGACACAAACCCAGTCCCTGATCTTTTGTAATATACGGGTTAGTGAGGAAGACAGTTGTTAATCGTATACTCATGCTAATGGACATATAATTACCCATTAAGTTCTCTGAAGGAAAAGAGTACGGTACTGTGAGGGCACTCAGCGAGCGCCTGACCTAGACTGGAGACACTGGGAGGTGTCTTTGAGGAAATAATGCTTATGCCAAGGTCAGAGGGAGCTGGCAGTGGGAGCATCAAAATATATTGAAAAGGATGTTCAAAGGCCTGAAAAGGGAGATTGCACAGCTTGTTTCAGGAACTGAGAAAATGCCAGTGGAGCTGGAGCACATACCTTCTCAACAGATAAGATTTTAATATACTCTGGCATATGATCAGAAACCAGATCTTTTTCTCTTTTTTTAATATTTTCTTTTCTTCATGTATTAGCAGAAGGTGGTATTTAATAAACACTGTTAGCTGACCAGCTCTGACCAGCTCACATTACATATACCAAAATAAAGGTATTTTGCTGGTTTTATTCAAATTTTATATCCCATAAATTAAGGAAACTATAAAATGTTAGACCAAGAGCCTGGTGGAATTATTGGTGTAGTACTGAATTCTTTCAGAGGTCTACTTTTGGAAGATGTTCACAGACTTAAAATTGGAATGCAGGAAGTGAAGACACTGTCTAACATAAAAAATGCCTTTGATCCAGTTCAGTATTTCTTTTTCTAATAGCCTATTGCACAGAAATACCCACATAAATGGGCAGAGTATTCTGGTATGTCCTAGTATCTTCTTTGCCTTTTTTTTTTTTTTTTTTTTTTTTTTTTTGTAAAAAGAAAAAAAAAAATTTTTTTTAATAGGGGAATAGTTAAAAAAATGGGGGGAATTCGTTTTTT